GACAAGTATATGTTGTTGATTGTTGGCATGTTCGCTTTCAAGCGAATTTTCGTATTGGAGTGTTTTTTCCCAAAGCTCGCGTATAATTTTCATAATCGTTTCACATCTTGATTCTGTTTTTAAGTCGTGTTGCTTTGTAATCGAAGAATGCAGATAGCAACGCCCACAAAAACGAATAGAAATCCAACGTAATTGATATTTGAACATTTCGATATAAGCTCCAAGTTCATACATTTTATCGATACGAGTATCTTTTGCCCGTTTCAACAATATATCAATATCACCAACAGCCAAAGCTAGATTATAGAAAGATAAAATTTTATATGAATAAGAAGTAGAATTCATTATTACAAATAAGTAGATTGGTAATCAGAACAGTAAGTATACAAACCAAAAGAGTAATTAAAATGAAACTCATTTCTTTATAATACGCTGTGTTTGATTGTCCGAACATGAGGTCATCAAAATTAATTTCACCGGTGCCCATAACTCCTAGATGAATATAGAATAAAAAGAAAAAAAAACTTTATATTCAAATAAAGGACGCATTAAAATAGTACCTATCTTTAGTAAACTAACAAAAAAGTTGTTAAATTCTTCAAAATTTTGAAAAAGCATGTAAAATCCAGATGCAAACGCTGCAATGAAAATCATCAATACTGGTAGGAAAAGCAGCAATCGTACGGTGATAACTCGTAACATAACAGTGTAGATGCCAATCAGCGGTATAAATTGAACATAATATAATAGAGCTAAATAACCAATGAATATGCCACATGCAGTGATTTGCCAGTGAGTAGGACAACGCATTTTGACATTATTCTGATAACTTTCATCAAACATAAAATAATAATTCAATACGAGTGCAATAATCTCCGGAAAAACCTTGAATGACTTCTTCCAATCCAAAAATAGAAAGGTCAGTAACACGAAAAAATTCTTTAAGGAAAGAATTGTCCATAGAACATACAATGTTATGCGAAGGTTTTTGTCGTATGCCTCTCTTATATCTGTGTCGTTAAGTGCTTGAACGACATTCTTGCATAAACTCGAATCCAAATCGTAGCCGGTCAAATTATAATAATATTGAGGATGTTTGGTTCGTACGATAGCGATTGTCAAGCAAACAAGAAAGGTTAAGTAAAATAAACCAGTAAATATAAACACAAATTTCCAACCCCAATGAAACTTTAGGTGAAGAAGACTTTCACTCAACGGATGCGACATCAATTTATACTGATCCTTCTCTGCCATCAGAAACAATGGATGATTTCGAACTAGAATCCCAGGATTGAATGTATACGGTTCACTCTTATTCAAATCGTCATCGATTTGATTGATTTTTCCATTTATTTTAGACTTTATTTCCGAACGCCCTTGAAAGAAAAAGCAAAACACAGTAACACATTCATTTTTTTTTCAATCTTTCACGGTCACAAATAAAATGTACGCTTTATCTGTTACAAGTTATTTCCTTACCTTTAATCCATTTATAAATGGCGAACTGATCTTCTAACAATTCATAATTGAAAATTTGTTGATGTAATTTTGTTCCATCGGCACCAAGTATTGTTGTACATCGATCGAGAACTTTGTAAGCCATGTCTGGCATGGATATAATCAATTTTCGCATGGGTGTGTCAGCATTGCGACTTTTACAACAACGCCAAAAACACGGACGTTTGCAACAATCCAATCTTGTGCAACACGATGTTAAAGGATCTTCGCCAGAGTAAAGATTTCTGGAATCTTTTTCACTACAAGGATTATTATTCAGTTGTGCATTACGCATCAATGGAAATAAGTGTTCACTTTCAATGAGATATTTGACTACATTCTCGTTTTTCTGTCTAATGGCCAACTCAAGACCATTGTGATGTCGAACATTTCTGAGTAGTATATCCGGACGAAACTCCAAGATGCATTTGACTAAAGACTCCGAACCATACTGGCCCGCTATCATCCACGGTGATTCTCCTAGAATAGTTGTTGCGTTCAAATCGGCTCGTTGCTTTACAAGAAGTTCAACACATTTACAACGATTTTTATTTTCTTCTTCATCTGGATCGGTCCCGCGGGCGACTTCGTGAAGTGGTGTATAATCATTGATGTTACAACTGTTGACATCGATTCCGTCTCTGCAGAGTAGTTTTAAAATATCTATATCACCTAAAAATAGGTAAGAATACTCTTAAATTATTTTCTATTATAATTCATCTCATGAGAACTTCTCGCATGATGTTTATTTTTGTAAACACAATCAATTCTATTCTGAGAACTCTATAATATTTTCAGTACAAATTATCAATAGGAAACAACTGCTATTAGATAGTTTCTTGAAAAATTATTATTATGAGTAGCCGAAAGATGTTCTTACCTTTGAATGCTGCCATATGCAAGCTAGTACGTAAATTTTGATCCTTATCATTGATCAGTTCCCATAGTTTGTTTTCCGTTTCCGTTAAATCCACATTTTTGGTTTTACTTGAATCCATCATTTTCACTTCCATTGAATTCAGCATATTCTTTACGATTTCATATCGTCCATATTTAACAGCTTCGTGGAAAGCCGAGAATCCATCATTGTTCTTTTTTTTGAGTACCACGGATAGTTCTGAAATCCTATTCATCGACATCGATACTATTCTGCCAATCATGTGACTATTACCTACTTGAGCACAAATATGTAAAGGTGTATTACCCATTATATCACTGTCTATTACATCTATATTATTCTTTTTCGCTGCATCTAATAGTAAACCAGTGATTTCATTATCCTGAATTTCTGCGCAGATATGAAAAACAGTTTTTTTGAGCTCCCGACTACACTTGTTCCACACTTTCCTTTCACAAAATTCGCTATCGACAAGTTTTTCGATACATTTGACTCGTCGATACTTGACAGCAATCATCAACGGCGTGAAATGATCATCATCTTCGTATTGGTGAGACATCGTTTCTTTGGTAATAAGTGTTTTGGCATATTCTTCATCACGAATCAGTCTGTCCCCATGAGGCTGACGACAGACCCAGTAAAGTCTTGATGAAACATTACCCGTCATGTCAGCAAAATGAGACAGAATACTTTTACCATGGAAACGAACAGCAGCAAGGATAAACTGATGAATAGCATCATTGCGATTGTCTTGAGCTGATACGTTCTTCAAATATTTAATAACAATATCAAGATGGCCATATGCAGCAGCCACTTCAATTAGACCCTCGTCAGTGAGTATATTATTATTGAACTTTGGATGATGAAAAATAACCTTAAACATTTCAGATTCGCCGTAGCGAAATGCATAATGCATCGGAGTTGCTCCTTGAATATCACATATCTATAATATTTTTTTAATTAAAACTTTATTTGTTTCATCGGTTTTAGTAAAAATCGAAGAGTGATAAGAACAGTGTTAAACATACCTGCCAATTGGGGTTTTTCTCAATCAATTCCTTCATGATGTTCTTATGATTTCTCATAATTGCATGGTGTAATGGTGTGCGGTCTTTATTATCTTGAATATTAATCTTCGCCCCTCTATTTAATAAAATGTGCAAAATTGATCCCTAAAAATATTTACGAAAAATTTGCCTATGATTTAAATATCAAGCATATAAAAAATATTACTGGTTCGCTGGATTCTGATTCGTTGTCGATTTCGAATGACATTGCGGCAAGATGAAGTGGTGTTTGGCCGTCACTGTTCAATAAATTGACATCTAGAAAACAGAGGCTAAATGTGAAAATGAAAAGCTTTTAGTATAATCTCTGCTACATACATAGCGAAAGCAATGCAGCAACATTGCTAATTAGAGGGAAATTATTTCATTCGATTCATTTTAGAATAGATTTGTTCATCATCGTTCGGAATTATCTACATGTGTGATAAACCAGTATCTCGTAGATTCTTACACATTTTTACAAAGCTACAGGCTACCATAGTATATAGCGTTGGATTTTCATAGACTCTGATGAAAAGAAGGACATGAGAGGGGTACCTAACCGAGTCTAATTTCTAATCTACACATGTTCAGATCATATTTCGCAAGAACGATAAAATAAGCCTTACCACATTTGTATATATCAAGTAATTTCTTCAAGACGAGTTTATTATTTCCGAGAACCGCATAATGAATTGCAGCGCAGTTTTCTTCGTCGAGTTTTTGAAGTGCAGTCTTTTTATTGTATTTGTACTCTATTTCATTAAGAAGCGTTTCGATGGTGTCCAATTGTTCCTCTATGCTTCGTTGATCTTTACAGAAACAGACCTATCCGTATGACAAAGAAAATTAAGAATATTTGTATTTTAGTAATCTTACGTGTTTTAACAAATCATAGATCGTCAGCGACATTTCATTATCGCTTTTTGTTTTATTTTGGTGTACTACTTGGTTCTCGTGTTCATGTGGAGTTAATGCATGCGTATAAATATTTTCGAAACCCTTTCCGTTTATATTAGTGGTATTATTTGATTGAGCACATTCTACTGTTAGTAAATTTGTATCAGGCGATATTTTACTCATGAATGCTTCAGTTTTGAATTAGTAGGCTGGGAGATATGGATTACCTTAAATAGAACAGCAGATTTTAGAAACGTTGTTTTTTTCCAGATGAAACAATAGTTGACTCATATGATATGCTATTATTTTAAAAGGGCCTATTCTTATCTGTAAGTATCTATGTGTATAGATAGTCTTGAACAAGTAGCGTCATTGATGGTATGTGACAGTATGAAGAAAGGATGACGCCTGTCGCAATCGTACTCACATCTGTTTCTCTCTAAGCAGATCTCCCAAGTCACTTAGATTAGAAGAACAGTCTTAATCTGCATTTAGCAGTAAGGTATATCATCAGTGACGCTAACATTATAGCATGTAGAGATATAAACTTGAAATAAAGATGAGTTTTACGAAAACCAAATAGCCACTATCTTGTAGGAAAAGAAACTGAATTTTTTTATCTCTCTGGAAAAAGTACCTCTTTTTTTAGAAGTGAATTCTATTCGATCCACAGAAACAGTTTACGAAGAACCAAAGATTTAACAGAGAGGCAAGGATGAGTTACCATATGTTTTTAAAGAAATTTTGCATTACAAGGTGGAAAACATTAAAAAAGACTTGATATCGTCATCCTTTTTCAGGGTAAAATATGGAACTCACATAATTCACATAATTTAGTTGTCCATGCAATATAGAGTCTTCAGGTTTTAATATATTGCATTTTAAAAGTTTGTAAGGAGTAAACGCAAAATAAGCCAAGATTTTGAAGGCAGAGGTTTCTTCCTATCAATACTAATTTGCATTATAAAGAATGGTTATGGGGTATGCGATAGGGATGGTGGTGATGTGAAGGTATGGTTGGAGAGTGTCTGTTCAAATGTATTGGTTTATCCGGATTTTCTCTTCATCAGCAGCCACGCAGAAATATTAGATAGCAAATCTTGCAAAGTTGGTGCAATGTTTTGTCAACATTTCCTGGAAAGAACGGGAGTGTATAAGGGTCATTTTTGGGCCCTCGTCAATTTTGGTTGATTCATAGTTTACTAGATGCAGAATTTCAAGAGGAATCGTTTGGTATCAAAATAAAGCTATTTCAGAAGAGTCTAGATGGACTTTTGTTGAAAATACTAACATATATTTTGTACCATAAATCGATCATTCATACATGGACATGTGACCCACGTAAATTTTCCTATCTTGAGATATATCGAACCGAAAATTATGTCATTCGACTAATTACTCTACAGTCTATCTCTGGTAAAATTTTCAGCTCAACCGGTTAAAGTGTTGATGAGTAATGATGAAAATATTGTAACACATCAGCGTGAAAATCATATACTATGTTATCTCTTCTGTTCACTGTTTTCTCAATATCTCCAGAAAGGAAAAAAAACAACATGGGTTTTTGATAGACTCTGACAGCCCGGAAATAGGGTTGCAAAATCAAATACTTTTTGATATTTTTAGAGGTGACCTTTCATAAATAAGATCAGTTGACTTTTGTTTAGACACCATTTTTTGCACTGTTTGACCAGTATTTCACAGATTTCAATAAGAAAAGTATAATTTCAGTCCAAATCAACAATATATTTGGAATCAGCACAAAAAACGAAGTCGACTTATATGTATTTCAAAATGTGGTATCATACTTTTTTTTCTTGAAAAATTTACCTGGAGTCGCCCACAGGGTCCAGTCAAAAGGGAATTTAAGCCAAACACCTTTATTATTGTTCAGATGTTTGTTATTTTGTCTTGTGAGAACATTTCAAAAGCTTTGAAATTGTTTTGTACCATTCAAATGATTTTCTCATCAAATTAATTTTTTGATCGAACACTGAGGGGGACCCCAGGTAAATTTTTTCGAGAAAAAAAAGTATGATACCACATTTTGAAATACATATAAGTCGACTTCGTTTTTTGTGCTGATTCCAAATATATTATTGATTTGGACTGAAATTATACTTTTCTTATTGAAATTTGTGAAATACTGGTCAAACAGTGCAAAAAATGGTGTCTAAACAAAAGTCAACTGATCTTATTTATGAAAGGTCACCTCTAAAAATATCAAAAAGTATTTGATTTTGCAACCCTATTTCCGGGCG